AAATAAATAAAATATTAATAAAAGGATTTTTAGTGTGAAGAGGTGTTTTCTGAAGTTGGTGTTCTGCCTATAGTAATTCTAGTTTTCATCAATAAGGCAAAATTCCTAACAAGAAACATAAATAATGAATGATAAGCCCATCACCCAGTCATTAAAGACCAAGACTCAAAGTGCCAGCACATTGCTTTATCAGGCGAGTGGATGTTTTGTTGTTGTTGTTGTTGTTGTTGTTTTGTTTGTTTTTTGTTTTTGGGGTTTTTTTGCAAGTGCCATGATCTTGGAAGATCAAATAGGTACAGGCCTAAGTCACTGCCAAATAGATTTATATAATTTGAAGTGTAGGCTGGTGCTAGGGTCTGGTCCTCTGGCAGATACACAAAGTGCTGCTAACTCCCACTTAATCAGCAACTATAACAAGTTACAGTCCCTGGAGTGTAAATAGTATGAGTCAATGTTTTGGGGGATTTCTCTTTTATGGAAAACAAAAATGTTATTACTTGAAGAACAGCATATATTTTTGTAGTCAAGAATCCTAAATATGTACTTTAAAATCTTGATTTTAGTATTCTTTGATAAAGTCAGGATCTCCTTGTTTGTTTCAAAGGCAAATTCCTGCTTAAGTTCTCTGCACTTTCCACATATTTCCATCCCAAATTACTGCACCGCATCAGTTCAACTCACTGTAAATACTCGGTGTTGTAAGCAATAAAAAAAGACAACTGTAATGTTGTCTACAATGGCATCAGTTCTGAAGGAGATAGTCCCCTGAGATTGGATTTGATCACCAGCTGTGGTGTTCAAAAAACACTGCTAAAATGTATGAAATCCTTAATAGATGTTTCACAGGGCCCATAAACATTCTGTAGAGTCAAAGGGTAATAAATGGAAGAGGAATGGCTGCCTCACCCAGCAAGGACCACCTCTGCTTCTGGGCTGTGTGCCAGGATTGAATGCATCAGGGATGATGGAAACATTCAGTGTCAATAAATACCCTAAAAGGGGACAAAATTGGATCCAGCTGAGCTCATGTTGGAGCACTCAAGAACTTATGCTTTGTTTGAGAGAAGGAACAGACTCCTTCTGCTATCAGTTAAGTTAAAGGGAACTGGAAGAGGCAGAGATGAAAACATAGGTACCTTGGTGTCGTGTATCTTTGTCCTTGCCCCTCTGTGAACCCAGAGAAACGGCCATTGTCCTAAAGATGCTATGTGTCATGTTTCCCAGGAAGAGAGATCCCTCAAAGCTCATTTCCCTAAACACGTCTTTTACCGTCTACAAGGACAGGACCAAGTTGTCAGCTCTTCGTGACCCTGTTCAATGTCTCTTTTCTCCCACAGAATCTGTACCAGAACAGGTTTTTAGGCCTGGCTGCTATGGCATCTCCATCGAGAAACTCCCAGAGCCGTCGCCGGTGCAAAGAGCCACTCCGCTATAGCTATAACCCTGACCAGTTCCACAACATAGACATCAGAAATGGCCCTCATGATGGCATCACCATACCCCGCTCTACCAGTGACACTGACCTGGTCACCTCAGACAGCCGTTCTACACTCATGGTCAGCAGCTCCTACTATTCCATAGGGCATTCCCAGGATCTGGTGATCCACTGGGACATCAAGGAGGAAGTGGATGCTGGAGACTGGATTGGCATGTACCTTATTGGTGAGTACATTGCCACCTGTGACTCTACTTGTTGGAGCTACTGACATAACAAGGCATGTTTACAGTGTGCCACTAACATGAAAGTCTTGCATGTGTGTTTGGTCATTCAACAAGAACCCTATTCATAATTCACTGGTTTTGGAGTTTTTGTTGGTTTTGAGCCAGGGTCTCCCTGTAACCCCAGCTGGCATGGAACTAGCTATGTAGACCAGGCTGGCCTCAATATCACAGAGATCCACCTGCCTCTGCCTCCTGAGTGCTGGGATTTTTAAAGGCATGCACCACCATGCCTGGCTCATAACACTATTCTTACTGATTTGCTTTAAAAATACATATTACAAATTTGAAAATATAATAAATTACATGTAAATATGTATCTCTTCTATTACATAATAGAATCCATTGTGTAATGAATTGACTTGGTTATAAAAAGGCAAATGCATAATTTTTTAAATTTTTATTTATTATTTTTATTTTAGATGAATGAGTGTGTTGCCTGAATGTTTGTAAGTGCACCCATGTTGTGAAATACCTGTGGAGGTTAGAAAAGGGTGTCAGATTCCCTGGAACTGGAGTTATGGACGTTGTTAACTACCATGTGGGTGCTGGGAACCAAACTCGTGTCCTCTACAAGAGCAGCCAGTGCTCTTAGCCAATGAGCCATCCCTCTGCCCCACTATGTATAATTCAGGGGTCACCCCAAGTATCAACAGAAACTCCAGCAAAGAACAGACTTTCTGCCTTCCCTCAAAATAATTCACTATGACACATTCTGATGCACAGCACCCGACTTAACATCGCTATCACGGGAAATAATGGCACATTAAGAGCAATTTACAATTTAATAAAGTCCATTTTTTAGTGATAAAGAAAGCTATCTTTCCTGACTGAATAGCTGTCAGGAAAACATTTGTGACTGTCTAAAGGTTTCTGCTGTTCGAACCTTGGCTAGTGTAATTACAATACACATTATTATAAAGATAAAGCAGCAGGCATTTTGATGTTTTCACACAGTAGCAGTTACTAGATAAATTTGACTTCCAAACAGTGAAAATTTAATGTAGCTTATAAATTTAGTTTTCAAATAAAACAAAATACGATCTATCTAAAACAGAAATCACACAGTAACAACAGCTTTCCAAGCATACACTATTAACCCATGTGGTTTTGTTGTGTATTTGGCTATCAGCAATAAGAATGTAGAGACTGGGACTGGAGAGATGGCTCAACAGTTAAGGAGTACCCACTGGCTGCTCTTGCTGAGGACCTGGGTTCAGTTCCCAGCACCCACATGGCTGCTAACAGTTCTAGGGGATCTGACACTCTCTTCTGACTTCCATGGACACTGCATGACATGGGTTCACTTACATATAAGCAGGCATAACACTCATACACATAAAATAAAAACAAATAAAGTCTGGGCATGGCCTGGTCTACATAGCAAGTTCCAGGCCAGCTAGGGCTACAGGGAGACCCTGCCTCAAAAAGACCAAAAAATGAAAAAAATAATACAAAGATTTCATTTTAAAGTCCTACTTTTTTATGTCTGACAAAAGACCCAACTTGGCAGACTTATTTTGTAATGTCAATTGGGCTCTAATCAGATAGAGTTTTTTTAAAAATTCATTTCTACCTTTAGACTAGCCTGACCCTTCAGTTTTGCCACAATCACCTTCCCACCTACCTACCTCCACTTTTATTAGGAATGTGATTTGTCTATCTCCTGGAAGAAACTGGGTTTTTGTGCATGCACAGACAGAAGCACCTAATTTTAAACCAGATCTTTACAGGAATACCTTCCCTCAGTTTGTGACTATTGATGCTGTTTCTCAAGTTAGTAAAACACTGGAAGAGGAGTATGTTAGGGACAAAGATAATGAGCTATATGTGGAGAGACACTGGAGAGATACCACCCATGTGAACAAGTGTATGCTTCTGCAGTTTAACCACAGGGCTATCCTAGAGGTTGTCAAATTGGAGTGTTGGCACCCTGTGAGCATAGAAGGTTAATCACAGATTGTGTGTAGGAAGAGAACAGCAGAAAGTCCTTGTCAGAGCGACTGAGAGAAGACGGGGGAAACAAAAGGAAGACGGTGGAGGTGGCAAAGAGGTAGGGAGACGAGACACTTACCCCACAGAGAAGAGAAAAATCTGCTGGAAGAAGGAAGGGGCTATTTAGTCCTGTCAGGTTTCATGAAACACTGAATGAAATAAGAGCTGGTGCTAACATGACATTTTGACTGAGCCAAACGTAACCGTAACTCATCATTTTAAAATCTTAATCTGACAGTTTGTTATACTCATAGCAGCTACACACATATAACTGTGAAGTTATTTGATGCTAAATGCCAACACTTTAAATGGCATAATATTTCAAAAATAATTTCCCAATCCAAAACTATCTCTGAATTTTAAAAGTTCATAATTTGTGAGTTCTTACTAACTTATCTTCCAGATTTGCAGGTCTTGCCTACGCTCAAGTCATAGATCTAGATCAAGAAATTTAGGGGTGGTGACTTCATCTAATTGTCATTTCCAAATAAGGAGATGACAGTTCAGTGACTCCTATAGGTATGGAGTTCGGGTCCTGGCAGGAGAGTTCACATTGCCCTCGGGAACATTTTTGTGAACAGGGATGTGCTATTCCATATCAGCGTGCCAGAGAAATGCCCAAGCAAGGCCAATTTTTGTGACGCATTTGATATTATATGACCACCAGAGTTTGCCAGGCAGACCCTGTCAGGACACAGAAGGTGATGAGGCCCTACTCAGTGACACTGTTACCAAATCACCAATGCTGTCCTTTCCAGAGCCATTGGTGAGCCTAATGATGGGACAAGAGCATTAGTATTACCGCTGTCATAGTGACACAGCACTTGGTTGTCCTCACTTAAGGAGTGGTCATGATGAGGTAGAGAAGAACAGTAAGTGACTTTTTTTTGAGACAGAGCCTCACTATGTAGCCCTGGCTGGCCTGGAACTAGCTATGTATGTAGACCAGGCTGGCCTCAAACTCTCAAGGATCTGCCGTCCAAGTGTTGGGATTAAAGGCATACCAGCCTGCACAGGGGTAAATGATTCTTTCTGAGTGACATTGTTTTTCGGGACAGATAGACCTTGTTTCGAATAATATTCATTTGCCTCTAGACTGATGTGTGACCTCAACCAGGGATTTTCATCTAAGCTTCAAGTTACTTGCCTCCAAAATAAACATAAAACTTCAGCAATGAAAGTAATTGGTGAGATAATGTACATTTATTTATTGCCTCTTCATTCATCTTGTCATGTTGCTTTTTTCTCTGGATGTATTATGATAAACAATTCCATTTTCTGGTAATGACGCAGCTGAGTCTTGACATTCAATGTACACACCATTGTTTTAGTTGTACCCAATGCACAAAAGCTTCTGACCTAACCAACAGGTACTGGAGAATAATTTTCTAAAAGTCAGTAAATGGGCAGAAGCTTATCATTCGATCAAAAAGAAAAGTGCATAGAGGTAGCTTTGTTAGAAATAGGTATTTTCAGGGGCTGGAGCAATGACTCGGTGTTTAAGAGGACTGGCTGCTCTTGCAGGAGACCTGGGTTCCAATCCCAGCACGACACGGGTGCACTCACACACATGCAGGCATAACACTCATACACATAAAAAATAAAAAAAAAAAAAATAAGTAAAAAGAAATAGGTGTTTCCAGTGAATTGTCTCACACATATTCATTCAGGAGTGCCTCCTGTACTTTCACAAATGAAATCTAGTGTTTATTAGTTTTGTATCTAAAGTTAAGTATTCAATAATGCCCATGTCTCTTTTCCTGAGGTTAGGACACATACTTTGATGGGTATATGTTCTTGTTAGCTTTCTGTTGCTGCGATAAACACCATGACCAGAAAGCAACTTGGAGAGGGAAAGGTTTATTTCAGCTTTACAATTCCCAGGTGACAATCCAGCACTGGGGGAAGTTGGGACAGGAACTCAAGATGAGAACCTGGAGTCAGGAACTGAAGTAAAGATCATGGAAGAATGTTGCTCACTGGCTTGCTCCCTTGGCTTACTCAGCTACCTTCCTTATAGAGCACAGGCCCAATTGCCCAGGGATGGCACCACCCAGAGGCAGGTGGGAACTCCTACATCAGTTAGCAATCAAGAAAATGCCTCACAGACATGGCCCCAGACCAGTCCAATGGAAGAAATTCCCCAATTGAGGCTCCCTTTCCCAGGTGACTCTAGTTTGCGTCAAGTTGTCAAAAAATAACCAGCACAGTATAACTGATCACTCTAGCCATTAAAGTGTTATATTATGAATCATCTGTAGAAATATGTTTATCTTTATATCACATTTCAAATATTTTGAAATGTGATATTTTTAAAATTGAATTTGTTTTGTGGGGTGTGTGTGTATGTGTGTGTGTATGTGTGTGTGTCTATGAATGGGTATACATGTGCCACGGCCCAATTGGAAGTCAGAGAACAAGTGAAAAGAATTTCATTTCTCCTCCCAGTTTCTTCCCTTACATGATATATGTCCCAGGGATCAACTTCAGTTCATCAGGTTTAGCACCTTTACCCCTAAACCTTCTTGCCCCCACTGCACTCAACTATCTTAAAATACTTCTTCGGATTATCAGCTTTTAAAATAGTCATTCTTTTGATCCTATTGAAGTGCAACCTATTAAAACAGTGTAAATGTGAAATAAGTATGAAATCACAAAAATATAATTAAGTAGGTAAAATTAACATACTTGGCTCATAATGTACAAAAGTAGTTTTTCACTTAGTTTTGATACATTGAATTCCTTATCATAGCATGTTACCCCAACACCATGCTGGGCTTTGCTGAGTAATTTAGAGTAGTGACATCAGCGTACTTTCATGCATTCAAAACTTCCATCTCAAGTGATAACACAAAAAGTTCTCTGAAATTATGTGAATGAAGTATTTCCATAGGCCAGAGTCTGGGGATTGCATTCTCTTCCAGGTGAGGAGCCTCACCTGTATCAGA